GTTTTCCTGGGGGAAGGGAGGGCACTTTGACACTAGAGAAAGCAAGTGGCCCAAACCTAGTGAAGCCTAAAGCAGCATCAGGTCTATGCTGTCCCCTGGTGGTCGTATGTTGTACTACAGTCAGCTCTCGGAGTCTCTGTGAAGTTACAATGAACTCTTCTTTTTCTATCCTGCAGTATGGAAGTCCAGAGACTTCAGGAGTCAGTCAAGATAGCCTAAGGGCAATGAAAGCATAGATCTAAATCTTCTCATGGGCCTGAATATAGAACTTTTACTGTAGGAGCCATTTAGTCTTTACCTGGTAAGGTGTATAAACTAGTAAACAAGGCCAGAATAAAAATGACGCATTTGATGGATTTAAATTGGTTTAGACGGTTATAATTAAAATCATATTATTTAGTCTATTTTGAATTTAGTCTATTTTGACTTTTACCAAGTTTGTTTTCGAGTTCCATCTCATTTTTATGGTTTTACAATAGTTTGGGGGGGAAGAGAATGATATAGTTTTAATCCCTGTTTCACTGATACGGAAAGAGACAGGGGCCTAAAGTCTCTGCAGAGTCAGGGTTACAGGTCTCTGGGTCCCAAATCAGAAGTCATAAGTGGGACAGGGTGACCAGGGGCAGACCTGGAGAGCTTTCCTCTTGGATTCACGGCCTCACGCCCTCCACTTCTGCACATTCCTGTCACTCGCACTAGGAGTGTTTCTAGTCAGCTGTGTACGCTATGTTAGGCATTTCAAATATGTTTCTGGAAGTTGTCAGGGCTGTTCTCTATGAGGCCTGAAGGCAAAATTCAATGTTTGTAGTAAATAAGTACTAAAATTATACCAGCTATTGAGAGGATGGATTATTTCCAGCTTGCTTAGCCATATTGGCTGAGTGTTGAATTCAGCAGTGGTGCCAACATATTACACACAAGAATTCTGTATTCCTGGGCTCCGAGAATCACACTGAAGGTGGTGGTGCAGAGTCTGCTGGGCAGGATATCAAGTTGTGGTCAGCAGGGTTCAAGAAGTTTATGGAGATGCAAAAGAAGGTTCTGGAAACTTTGCTGGGATGGCACTTCCCTTGGACTAGTTCCTGGAGACTGATATAGAGGAGACGGGCAGCATCAGAAGCTAGACTTACAGTGTTTTACAAACCGTGGGCTCCAAGGAATGTTTGTTCCTGGAATCAAAGCCACCTCTCTGTGGGATTCTCTCTTCCCATCTCTCTAAGTCTCTGTTATGGGCTGAGTTGTGTTCCTCCAAAATTCCTACACTGAAGTCCTAACCCCGGTGTCTGAGAATGTGACTTTATTTGGAGACAGGGCCTTTAAAGAGGTAATTAAGTTTAAACGAGGTCATTAGGGTGAGCCCTCATCCAGTATGACTGCTGTCCTTATAAGAAGAGGAAATTAGGACACAGACATGCACAGAGGGAAGGGAAGACCATGTGAGGACGCAGGGAGAAGGTGGCCAAGCAAGCCCAAGGAGAAAGACTTCTGCAGAAACCTACCCTGCTGACACCTTGATTTCAGACGTCCAGCATCCACAATTGTGAGGAAATAAATGAATGTTGTCTAAGCCAGCCGGTCCATGGTACTCTGTTACGGCGGCCCGAGCAACTAAAAGAGTCTCCTTTTGGATTTAGGGAGCATGACTGAAGGGCCCATCCACTCAGAATCAACGCCAACCAAGTGAAAACCACCAAGCCACTCTGTAAGGAACTAAAACATCTTGAAAAAAAGGAAAGTGACCTGTGAAATAACATCTGGTTTGAATGGCATCCAGTATCTCATACTAGACAAGATATACTAGCATGATTTCTGGAGAAAAGCCCAAATACGTGCCCCAAATATGTACACCACAGTAAGGATTGCATATAAATCTTTTTTCCCCTGGCTCGATAGTGTCCTGTGGGAGGAATCCAAATAGTATGAAACATGTCTTCAGGTCTTAGTGAGTCATGCAGCCAAGTTTTATGGAGTCAAGCTACAAAGCTATCAATTACTGCAAGAAAAAAATATTTGCCTATGTCACCCTTAATTTTTCTTTAAGCTGCTCTGAGATATCTGGTGTTTAGCTTACAGGTTACATTATTTGATGAAGCTCTACAAAAGATTTAGTAAAAAAAAGGAACCTAAGCACCCAAGACTTGGAACCCAGCAAATGCAGCTATTCTGCTTGGTTTCATCAATGGTGGCCACGAGGTTGATGTTGGTGATGAGATAATTTTTACTGAGTGTTTCTCATGGCAAAGGCACTAAATTAAGTGCTTGAAATAGGTGACTTAGCTTTCACAGAAACAGATAGATAGATAGATAAGACGTGGTGTAAGGTAGCTGTTCAGTCTTGGTCCCCGCTACTTCTCAGCCTTGGGATCTTGAGCAAAGTACTTTACTCTCTGTGACTCAGTCTTCTCATTTCAAAAGTTCGTTGTTAATGCACGAAGTGCTTGCAGTAGCCCCTGGCACAGGGTAAGGTTTCAGTGAGTGTAGGCTGCCGGTGTTTTTCTTTCTTCCTTTTTTTTTTTTTTTTCATTTTTGGCTGTGTTGGGCCTTCATTGCTGCGTGTGGGCCTTCTCTAGTTGCAGCGAGCGAGGGCTACTCTACATTGAGGTGTGTGGGCTTCTCATCGCGGTAGCTTCTCTTGTTGCGGAGCACGGGCTCTAGGCGTGTGGGCTTCAGTAGTTGTGGCACATGGGCTTCAGCAGTTGTGGCTCGCGGGCTCTAGAGCGCAGGCTCAGTAGTTGTGGTGCATGGGCTTAGTTGCTCCATGACATGTGGGATCTTCCTGGACCAGGGATCGAACCCATGTCCCCTGCATTGGCAGGTGGATTCTTAACCACTGCACCACTAGGGACGTCCTGGTGTTTTTCTTAATGTCCTCAGATGAGGAAACAAAGGGCAGTAGAGATGTGAGGCACTTTGCTCAGTACCTCATGTACCACTGTGGAGGGGAGTCTAGGCCGGCACAGCGCTCAGGCTCTCCAGCACCTCCCATTTGGTGATACTGTCCTTTGCAGGTACTTGTGACCTTATTCTTTCTGAGACACACATGAGGGTGATTTTTTTTTGCAGTACGCGGGCCTCTCACTGTTGTGTCCTCTCCCGTTGCGGAGCACAGGCTCCGGACGCGCAGGCTCAGCGGCCATGGCTCACGGGCCCAGCCGCTCCGCGGCATGTGGGATCTTCCCGGACCAGGGCACGAACCCGCGTCCCCTGCATCGGCAGGCGGACTCGCAACCACTGCGCCACCAGGGAAGCCCGAGGGTGATCTTAATACGTGCTTTCTTTACGTGTTCCCACGCTGGCTTCCCCTCAGAGAGGAGTACCCTAGTTAACATTGCTTATCTCCAACCGTTCAATTCTCTCTTCTTCTAACCATTACAATTTTTATTCCATTTTCTTCACATCCTCAAATGCCTTATTTTATTTTATTTTATTTTATTTTTTTTGGTACGTGGGCCTCTCACTGCTGTGGCCTCGCCCGTCGCGGAGCACAGGCCCTGGACGCGCAGGCTCAGCGGCCATGGCTCACCGGCCCAGCTGCTCCGTGGCATGTGGGGTCCTCCCGGACTGGGGCACGAACCCGCGTCCCCTGCATCGGCAGGCGGACTCTCAACCACTGTGCCACCAGGGAAGCCCTCAAATGCCTTATTTTGACCATGCTTCTGCTACGTGGCTGCTCTTGGAATGTAGAAATGCCTCGGATGCTAGGACTGTGATTCCCAGACATTTCTTCCATCGAGGAAACGACTGGCTCCTATGGAAGAGCCCTGCCCCAGGGCTCTCAGCTTTACCACCACTGCACAGGCTGCTGGTGGTTTATTCTTCCCAAGAAATCACTTGCTGTGTATACACACCTGGCAGGAACTGAACCACCTGCTAAATGACAGTGTAGACAAGGGGTGGCCGCAATGCCATTGTTTCCTGGCTGGCGGTTCTCAGGCACACTTTCTAGATGTTAATTCCAAGGGCTCTGTTTGCTCCTTTTGGGGTAAAAGAAAGAGGCAAAAGGCCCATTGGAAGCTTAGACTTTGGAAATGAGTGAGAGCATAATGATGCTAAAGAGAAAGATGACATTTTGCTAACAATGACACGGTGAAGGTGTAGAGTTATTGTTGAAATGGGAAAGAATTGGCTGTTTACTTAAAAGATGGGAAGGAAGGTTGGGAGTCTACATAAAAAGGAAAGTGTGAGTTCCAGAGAGCCATCTGCTTGCTAGTTATGGAACAAATAGAAATTGAAGTTTGCACATTACAAAGCACTTTCAGCACCCATGCCTCCATGCACCCATGCACCCATCCCTTTGTTATCTATTTATTCAGCACTTCCCCGCTTCCATCCTAGGCCCCAAGGATGCAGATGTAGAAAAAGGAAAACCTCAGTCCATTCAGTGGGGCAGGCATCGCAAAGGGTAATTACAGTGTGGTGTGGTAGGAGCCATACAGGGGCCATTGCTGGGATGTTGGGGGCATAGAAGAAGGACTAAGTCAGGAAATGTATATGGAGTAGGAACATTTCATTAGGATCTTGCAGTATGTGTAGGAGTTTGTTGTGTAGATGAGAGGAAGGATTGCATTTCAGGTACATGCAAAGCCTGGAGTTACAAGCGAAAAGGAAGTGATCTTGTGGGGTCAGGGGAGGCGGAGCCCTTGGCTTTGACTGGCTCTGTGGTGCTTACAGCCAAGCAGCATTAGGGATTAGGGAGAATCAGCCCAGCTAAAGCCAGGAGGGGGAGACGCTAACTTAAGCCCCCTCGCCGTGCCCTCCTGGGCCTTCCTGAACCATCTTCCTTTGATCTGTTGGAGGGAAGGGGCTCTGAAGGTATTTGTTTAGTGAAAGAGAAAAATGAATAACAGTTTAAGAGAGTTGTTCTCACCCAGGGCTGCACTCCGGAATCTCCTTGGGAAGTTTTTGAGATTTACGTGGTCAGACCATTGTCCAGAAGCTCCGACTCAGAGGCCTGGGTGGGCCCAGCGCTGACCCGCTTGACAGAGCTTCTGAGGTGCGTCCTTGGTAGAGACCATCTGCTATATGTGTTTCCTTTACCAGGAGTATCTGCCTGCGGGGGGAAGGGATATCGGGTGCCCTACGTCCCTCTCGGAAGATGGGCCCTAAGGAACCTCTCGGAGGGAACACGTTCTGTCTCCCCTGTGCTGGGTGTAAACTCTAGCGATAGGACCGCCACCCGCTTCCCACCAAGTGCAGCTCAATTCCAGGAAATACTTTCAAGTAAGATTTTCTAATCTCCTCTAGGGTCTCAGACTCCATTTACATCATACTTTCTGTTAATTTTTATAATCTGGTTTTATCATCAAGTTGGAGGCTGAGAAGAGGCACATCCAGGGCTTGTGAGTGCTGGCTCTGCTCCGTTTCGTGACCGAGTGCTGATTCCATGGGGTGTTCACGCTGTAAAAACTCAGCGCGCTGCCCACTTACCATGTGTGTACTTTTCAGTCAATGTGTGATATTTTTCCAGTTTCTTTTTTATTAATTGAAGAATAGGTGATTAACAAAGTTGTGTTAGTTTCAGGTGTACAGCAAAGTGATTCAGTTATATATATATATATATATAATATATATATATTCAGCTTTATATATATGTATATTTCAGATTCTTTTCCATCATGGGTTATTACAAGATACTGAATATAGTTCCCTGTGCTGTACAGTAGGTCCTTGTTGTCTATTTTATATATAGTAGTGTGTATCTGTTAATCCCAAGTTCCTAACTTATCCCTCCCCTTGCCCTTTGGTAACTGTAAGTTCATTCTCTGTGAGTCCATTTCTGTTTTGTAAATAAGTTCATTTGTATCATTTTTTTTGATTCCACATATAAGTGAGATCATATAATATCTGTCTCTCTCTGTCTGACTTACTTCACTTAGTATAACAATCTCTAGGTCCATCCATATTGCTGTAAATGGCATTCTTTCAATAAGTGAATCATTTTAGAGCTGAAGTCGTAATGAATGCAGAGCCCGTGTTCCCCTTGGCCAAACCCCTCGCGGTGGGCATATTCCCAGGACGGCCCCGGGCGGCTCTGTGCTTTGGCCAGGATGTACCTCGCGGTCCAGGCAGCGGCACAGTCCCCCATGTGTGGAAGGCTCCACGGGCTGTGGGAAGGGCAGACTTGGATCTCCTGACTTTTGTCCATTGATGGCCTTACTCACAGAGTTGCATTAGCTTGGTTTTGTAGGCTGAATGAAACCACTGGCAACCTTCTGATGTGTTTTTTCAGCCCGAGTAGAGGCTGGTAACTAAGCCAGGAATTCCCAAACTTTCCCAGGCCAGCGCGGAGACACACTGGGACGTCTTTTTCTTCTCCCCCGTCCATCTGCAGGCCAAGTGCGCATCGGTCAAAGGCAAACTCTGAATTGAGCTTTGTGCCAGTCTCTGGAAAGACACCCAAGAGCGTGTGATGGGGAAAGTGACAGTGGCGGTGGCAGCGACATCTGCAGTGCCAGCCCCGTCCCTATCTGCCACAGAACGCGTGTGGGCACGCTTTATGAGAACAATCCACCCGCCAGAGAATGGGGCTTTTGACATCAGCTGAGGCCCGGGCTGCCTTACAATGAGAGGCCTGTTGGTGAAAGGGAGACTGTTTAATGAACTGAGAATCAGAGGCCAGCTCTGGCCATCTGGACTGAGCATCTTTGGAGCAACTCTTCATTGTAAATGGCTACACTGAAGCACGTTGCCTTTCCAAGAAAGCAATTGCAACAGTAAATTCATATTTCAAAATTGTGCACAATAAACTCATATTTCAAAATCGTGAACTTTTAGATATTTGTGTGTGTGCATGTGTTGGAAAGCATTGTATAAAGGTTAGATATTACCATCTTAATTAGCACGGAAGCCTGAAAAAGCGTCCCACTTTTGGCTCTGAGGTCAGTAATGATAATGGCTTTTTCCTGACACCGGGTAGCCATGTCCTGTCAAGGATGTGAAAACACTCTCTGAAAATGAAATCCATTAAAGCCCTAATGATCAGGTGAGGGAGGCAGGTGATCACGATTGTCACCACTTGGCTGGCAAAACACTGAGACCCAGGGAGGATGATGACTCATGACCAAGGTCGAGTGGCAGGTGGGGGGTGGAGCTGATAGCTAATTGTGTCCTCCAGCCCCAGGCGCTGGGGAAGGACATGCAAAGCTGGGGCTGACTTTTCCTGGCAGGCTCGCTCTTCGCAGCCGGAATGCAGGTGGCACTGTTGTGATTCCTGGCGTAAACTTCAATGCATCAATGAGCATGTTGGCTGGCGCCAGGCCCCAGCTGAGTGTCACAGTGCAAGACCCGGGCTTAAGCGGTGCGTGCCGAGGTTCTCCTAGCAGCGTCTCATTTATTAGCTGTGTTGGAAAGAAATCCTTCGCAGCTAACCAGGTACCTCTGGATTTTAACAGCTGTGGTTTATAAGGGATTGGGGAGAGGGTTGTTTTCAAAGTGCCTTTCAGAAAGTATCACCTTAGAGGGGAGTTTCCCTTCTGATCCAGGAGGACGACTGGCACCAGTTCTCTGCTCAGAAAACCAAGCCCGCAAGAAATATCAGGTTCTATTTTCTTCCAACCCATTTTAGCAAGTGTGCCTTCACACCACCTTCCCGTCTCTTCCCCTTTGTTGGCAACAGTCCCGATTGGAAGGGTTTTAAGTCCAACGTGTCTTAGAAGGTGCCCCGCACAGACTGCGTGGCTGGGGGCTGGCAGTCGCGGTTGGATCGGGGGACCTCGAGGGTCCCTTCCAGTCTGAGATGTTATGACTTCAGAACGAATGCGTCTCAACTCCCAACATGAAACGGGAATAACTACCAATTACCGAGTACTTTCTGTGTTCCAGCCCTGTGCTGAGATCTTAACGTGTTACTCTGAATTCTAACAAAATTGTTGTGAATATCACCCCCAGTTCACAGATGAAGAAACTGAGGTTTAGAGAAATTAAAAACCTGTCTGATAACACTGGTTTAAGATTTCGTAAGTGACGGTTCCCTGGAAGTTGAGACCAGACCAGGCTAATTCCGTGCTCTAAACCCACAACTTAACTAGGACGAACTTTAGTCGCCTTGTGGTTCCCTCTTGTCAGATGAGCTCAGATCTCCAGCTCTCAGGGTAGCTGTTGCTAGTCTCTTGTCAGACTCAGTGTTGAAATCAGAGAGGAAAACCCCAGACAAAGGCTGCGGAGGTCCTGGTGCACGAAAACTCTCAGCTTCCCATCCTCCTGGCAGTCGGAGATTCTCTAACTGTAAATACAAATGCCCTTGAAGAGATAACGCATTAATTGTCATCCATTAACACTATTGTGTAAATTAGTGTAATTTAGCAAATGCTCGGAAGGAAGAAACTCAAGGTCCGTAGGTCCAGATTAATTCCGACATGGGCACCAGCACTGGGGAACTCTGAGACGTCTGTTCAATAAAGATTTGTTGACTTTAAAGATTTGTTGACTTTTTGTTGACTGGAAAGTTTTGCTTTCCAGTGGGTCGAAAGCATAATATTTTTTAGAAGGAATGCTTAAAATTCTGACCTGTGTGTATGGAGAGCACGTATAATAAACTACAATTTATTTTAAAAATATGGTCTGGGAAGTCAGATTTATTATACATGTAAATATATTTTTTCCACAAAAGGAGATATCTATATCTATATATCTTTATCTATATTACATATAGACATCTATAGCTGTCTCTTTCTCTCTCTGTATATATTTGCTTTTTGTGAAAAAGTTATCCCTACCGTCTGATCCCAAGGGAATATTATTTCTCATCCAGTCTGTGACTAACTATTACAAAGTAATGCTTCCTGTCTTCCGAGTGGGGTACAGGTTCAGTAGCAGTCTATCCGGACTACTTTTAGCTGTAAATGTTTTGTGACATCAAAAGTCACTTCTCTTCCACAATTAGCTCTAGAGGTTTTATGCAAATAGTTAAAACTTCTTTGTCATAAAGGAGATGATAATAGCCAAGTGGCCTTAAGCCGTGTGAAATATGCAAGTACAATCTAACACTCATGGTGAAAAAGACAATATTTTAGAATAATTCAAGCTTTGCAGTTTGTTTTAACTTTGGAATGAAAATGAACTCAAAAGTTAAAAAAGAAAAAGGAAAATGGCTTTATTAGACGTCAGGGTGTTGAGACACAAAGTATACAAGCAGAACCTGCAAGAATATAGGTTCACCTCATCACTCAATGCCCATTAAAAAATCAACACCAAGCTCAGATTTCGTCCATGAAGCTAATATTTTTTTCAGCTTTTACGAGGATTTTTCCAACTTTGATGTTTTCCGAAATCCACTGCAGGCTCAGCTGGAAGTTGCCTGATGATGCTGAGTGAGGAAGATGTCAGCCTGCCTCCTGCTGGCCGCCAGGAAGACGAGGTTGGTCCGAGCTGGGTCAGGGGCCTGCTGACAGTGCGTCCCGTGCGGCCCCAGGACACCCGTCGGCAAGGGTGTCACTGAGGCTCTGCAAATCCTGTAAAGTGAACAAAAACCCCCGAATCTGATATAGATCTTTCTCGCTGACATTTTAACATTTGAAAGATGTCATGAAAATTTCAGATGGATACGTAGAGAGGCAAGATCTATTCTACTTTTAATACCTACGAGTAGTTCTTTCTCTTTTTTTTTTCCAACAAGAAAAGGGAGCATAGCAAAACTACTTTGGAAACTATGAGCAGTGGAAGTACCTCGTTAGATGGGGATGCAGGAAGGAAGGGTGTGGCGAGTGGGGCTGCCAGGGCTGCACGGCACACTCCCCTGCCTGGTGCTGTGTGTTCTGAAGGCAGCATCCTTCAGCAGGGCTCGGTGGCACTCGGCTCCTTAAGGGGTACGTGTGCTCCAAGGCTACTGCAGGTGGAAGGCTACTCTGCATCTCTGAGTTTTTCTGGAACTGTTGCTCTTCCCTTCTCCTTTATATAATTTGACCCCTGGCTGCTGTTCTGATCAGTAGTATTGCCTCAATATACTGAAAGGGGAAAATATTGGTGAAGTCAATCCATCAGTCAATCAAGCAATAAATTTTGATGTGATGTAATGAAACATCTGGTGCAAGAGAGTCTGGCTAAAATAGGATTTCGAAGGGATAATAATGGAAATTTAATCACGAATCTATGTATTTTCAACACTGACATTTCACACAAACATTGGTTGTAAATCTCCAACGTCACAATGTTTTTGTCTTATTACATCTCATTAATTATCTTGTTAAAATAATAGTGTAAGTCTTCCAAAATTCTTTTGGAGCTGGCTGGATAAGTAAGATAAGTAAATCCTAAATTAGTGAAAGAATATACATTTCTCTTTGAAGTTAGGTCACATCCAACTGAAGAAGCCCTAAATTACTCCCCATCTCAACTCTAATTACTTCTTTCCTTCATCCCTTTTTTTTTTTTTTTAAGATGTTGTGGGTAGGAGTTTATTAATTTATTTATTTTTGCTGTGTTGGGTCTTCGTTTCTGTGCGAGGGCTTTCTCTAGTTGTGGCGAGCGGGGGCCACTCTTCATCGCGGTGCGCAGGCCTCTCACTATCGCGGCCTCTCTTGTTGCGGAGCACAGGCTCCAGACGCGCAGGCTCAGTAGTTGTGGCTCACGGACCTAGCTGCTCTGCGGCATGTGGGATCCTCCGAGACCAGGGCTCAAACCCGTGTCCCCTGCATCGGCAGGCGGGCTCTCAACCACTGCGCCACCAGGGAAGCCCGCCCCTTGTTTTTATCGAGTCACTGTTCTACTCGCTCAAGCAGAACGTTTGGGGACCCATCATTTATTCATCTCTTTGTTTTCCTGACCAGCAAGTATTTATTAACACTAAACGTTACACTCTGGCACCTGTCTTCCCGGGTTCTAGACTCAGACTACAACAGCGAAAAAAACCGATAAAAAGTCTCTGCCTTCTTGTAGCTTATAGACTGGTAGTTTAGAAAGTCAATAACTATGATAAATAAATTTTAAATTGGGTAGTGATATATCTTTGCGTGGCCGGCTCTGCTTCTGGGTGTCTGGGTGTCTCTTCTGTCTCTTATAAGGACACTTGGCATTGAATTTAGGGTCCGCCCAGGTTATCCAAGATGACCTCATCTCAAGATCCACGATTTAATTCCATCTGCAAAGACCCTTTTCCCAAACAAGGGCACAATCACAGATTCCCGAGATTAGGACGTACATATATCTTTTTGGGGGCCAGCGTTCAACTCTCTACAGGGGAGAACAAGAAGAGCTGTTTTTTTCAGTTTTCAACTGGAGGGCCTTTCTGTTAAGGTGGCTTTGAATAAAGACCTGTTAAGAGGCAGGGGAGGGAAGCACGCGGACTCTGGAGCTGAGAGCCCAGGAAGCGGGAGGGGTTGTGACGGCCTGGCCTGCGTTGTAAAGGCCAGAGAGCAGACAGAAGGGGCGAAGGCAGAGACAAGGAGAGCGGGTCGGGCTCGACAGGAAGCCAGGAGCGGGCGGCGGCCCAAGCCCCCGTGGCTGCTGCAGATGTGGTGAGAGGTGGCTGGGCTCTGGCCGTGTTTTAACGATGCTGCCAACAGGATTTGCTTGTGGACCAGATTGGGGGTGAGAGGAAGCGGAGTCAAGGGTGACTCCACAGTTTGGGCCTGAGTTACTGGAAAAAATACAGTTGATGTTTATGAGATGCAAAAGACCTGGGGTGTCAGAGACCTAGTTCTGGGTGCTCGGCTGTGAGCTAGGGTTTTGGGGCTGGAGTCGGCTTCTGGTCATCTGGATTCAGGTGGTGCTTACACAGCGGGGCACACAGTCTGGGACAGGCGGGGTCTGCGCTGGAGATTCGAATCTGGGACCTAGA